TAAGTCTAAACTGGATGTGTATTTTCTTAAAGTGATTTAAGGTTACATTTTCTGTAAAATACACAATTTTAAATCTTGTAGGATTTTTTTTACAGCAGTTTTGTTACCATTTTGTTAAAAACAGAGTGAGTAATAGATGAGTTGTGTATGTATATGTTTGTTTTTTTGTTGCTGTTCAGATACCTTGTAAAAAAAACAACAAATTGTTGAAACTAAATGTGAAATAGTTGCACAGCTCAACTCCAGCAGCATCCATGGCAGCATTTTCACCCCTGAGATGAAATATGAAGATGTTCGCTGACGAGTGTAAAATGGGATCCTCGAACCGCGGTGCATTTTATAAAGTGAAAGTGTCATTCAGGAGAAAAAGGGGAAGAAAAAGCTTTTCCACTGAATCTTTAATAATAGGAGGTGAACGCCCGAGGCAGAGTTAGGGATTTGTCACTGGTAGCAAATGTGTCTCCCTTCTGCTTTTTGCTCCCTAATGCATGACACATGTTCAGAGGCACGCATCTTATGCTCTGCGCTCCCTCTCTGCTGTTTTTGTGCAGTGATCGTGGTGCTGTTCGCTGCCCTGAGGAGACAGAGGAAGAAGGAGCCTCTGATCATCTCCAAAGAGGATGTCAGAGACAACGTTGTCAGCTACAACGACGAGGGCGGAGGAGAGGAGGACACTCAGGCCTTTGATATCGGCACGCTGCGCAACCCGGAGGTGATGGATGCTAACAAGCTTCGCAGGGACATCATACCCGAAATGCTGTTTCCCTTTCGGAGGACATCACCGATAAAGGATAACACGGATGTGAGAGACTTCATAAACGGGCGGCTGCAGGAGAACGACGCCGACCCCACGGCGCCCCCTTACGACTCCCTGGCGACCTACGCGTACGAGGGAACCGGGTCCCTGGCGGAGTCCCTGAGCTCACTGGAGTCTGCCGCCACCGAGGGGGACCACGACTACGATTACCTCAGCAACTGGGGACCACAGTTCAAGAAGCTGGCGGAGATGTACATAGGGAGAAGCCCCGACAGAGAGACCTAAACGAAGCCATCCGTCTCTCTACGATCCAAACTCCTTTTCAATGTCCTTTCGGCTAACTAGCTAGCCAGACACATGTTTGTCTAGTTAGTTAACTAGCCTGTCTGTCTTAATATCTATCAAGCTATCTGTTTGTCTAGTTTGCTAGCTAGCTTGATAGTCAACTGGTTGTCTGTTTGCTCCACCTACAAATGTGTGTGAAAATGCACAAACTCATGCGCACTATATTAAACCCTCATGAGGAAGATTACATGGAAACGGGAAAGCTGTGTTCGAAATGTTCACTCACAAAATTACTACACGACAAATTGTCCCAGTAATTATCGCGATAAACGGTAATGTTGTTGTCTGATGCCATTTTAAAGTAATATAGTATGTCATCAACTTCCTAAAAGTACATTTTGCCAATTGTGATGTGGGAACAGGAAAGCTATGTTTGAAATGTTATCGCGATAAACAATAATAATGTTGTTGTTTGATACCGTTTTAAAGTAACGTATATTGTCAGCTTCCTACAATTCACTGTTGGCCAAAAGTAACATGGAAACATTAAATCTATGTTTGAGATATTCACTCACAACATTTTATAAAGACAATACTTTGTCTCTAATTATCGCGATAAATGACTTAAGAGGTTTTGAAACCATTTTCAAAAAATTTATAATCAGTTTCATAAAAGTCATTTTTGGCCAAAAATGACGTGGAAACAGAAAAGCTATGTTTGAAATAATCACTCATAAAATTTTTCTAGACGATATATTATCTCCAATTATCACGATTATGTTAACATTGTTGTTTTAGATCATTTTCAAGTAATTTATACCGTCAGCTTCCTAAACATCATCTTTGGCCAAAAGTGACCTGGAAACAGGTAAGCTATATTGTAAATCTTCACTCACAAAATTTTAACAATAAATTGCCTCAGTAATTATCATGATAAACACCAATGTTTTTTAGACCATTTATAAAGTAATATATCATTTTCCTGAAAGTCATTTTTTCTCAGAAGTGATTTTTATTGTTTAGAACATGGTTTGGAAAAATCACTTTTGAGCCATTATTTTAGGGAGGTGACAATATTCTTTATAGCACAATAATTTAAGCTCAGTAACAAACAATAACAAACAATTGTTTCCAAATCAGTTTCTTTCTATAAAAGTCTTATGAAACTTTAGCTAAAACTGCAGCTGGTAAGTTTTGTTTGTTATTCACTCAATAGGTAGAAAATCCAGAAATTTAACTCTTCATAAAATCACTCAAGTAAAACGTAACTTTTCTCAACAAAATTACCAAAGTGAAAGTAACTAGTTCCCTTTTCCTTTACCCAGTAACGTTTAAAGCCAAAACAAAACGCCGATATTTGTAAACGATTGGACAATTCGAACACAGAGCGAGACTTGAAGCGAGTTTTCTATAAGCAGATCCAATATAAATCTCAGTCTTTTGCTTTTTTTTTTGGTCATAATCAGTAAAGATGCCTTTAAATTTTAGGACTTTTGTGAACAATGGTGTGAATAATGTGTTTTGTAATCAACATGAACGATAGTAGTATTGTATACTATCAATGTTAAATGGTGCCGGCTCGGTTTGGGTGGGAAACGGGGGAAGGAGTCTGACGGCTTTTCCAGCCAACTCCATTAAATACTGTAAATGTACAAAGTGTTTTTAATGATGGACATCGTATAAACTATTTGCTATATCTGTTTGACGAACAATGTTCATGTGAATGGTTGGTGGAGTTTCTTTTTGTCAAACTGTGAATCCATTTCATCATGTAGGTGTAAAATGTAATGGAAAGTGTTGTAGGAAACTGTCACACACTGCTTTCATGCTATTTGAATGCTGAGTCATATTGTTTTATATTTATATTTTTATACTTATTTTCTTAATAAAATGATCTGAAAAGGGTCAAGCCATGCTTCTTTTCAGTTTTCCCAGATTTTGTTCTGTAATACAAATGTAAACTATTTGAAAATACTCAAATATGCTAAATTTGCGAAAGAATGAAAAATTTGTTTAATTTAAAAATCAATGTGGTTTAATAGGATATCTAAAAATGAAATTAATAACAGAGAAAAGAGCCCGTTAGTTTGGTAATAAAGCATTTAAACTTTTTGTCAAATGGATCAAAATCAAATCGAAATCGCATGCTGGTGTCAAAAATTAATTTTTAAAATTAAAATTTAACACACAAATTCAATTTACTGCTAGAAACATCAACATTTTGGAATTAATAACAAATATCTTGTAATTAAAGGCTCCTAAAGTCCAGGTTTTATTCATGCAAAAACAACAATGTATCAACCAAAACATAACTTCTGTTACACGACTCAAACACTTTCTCATTCATTTGGCTCAAACACAAACAAAATTAAGTGATAAAGATAATTATTACGAATAAAGACGCAGGAGGAAAATTTGGAGACGTTTTATGCTTTTAATGTGATCTGCAGAGATTAGTAGCTGCTTAAAAAATCCTGATGTTTCCCCTGATATTGCAACCATGCATTAAAAATAAACGTGTGGTTTGTACAAACCCCCATTTTTAATTAGCCTCATTTTCTTTTGATCTAGAGAATACCAATATCCAGTTCAAAATTATGCAGAAACTCTCAATTTCAGAATAAAAGACTAAAAAATCACTTCCTGCACTCAATAAACTTCCACAGAGTTTTAAATCTCCAATATTAATCTGCATCCCAATGATACTACAACCACAAATTGTCAAACTTTTGTTATTACTCTGAGCCAGAAAGCTATCATCATTAAAAATAAAGTGCTCTTGCTTTGGAAAGTTGAATAAGAACTCCATAAATCACATTTTATGGAGTTAAGTGGTGATTAGGTACCCGTGTACAAGCCAGTGCCTCCAATCCAGCAGCCAAGCAATTAATCTAATCCCTGTGATGTTTTTATGTCCAGTCATTGCAGAAAGTATTAAACTGTTTGTGCAGACGTCTTTGGGAAAATGACCCTACTTCTCATTTGATTTGTGACCTCAATAAACATTTTCTAAAACTGTTTATGGTCTCGGCTAGTTTTACAGCTTCTTTAACAGAGCATGATGTCCGTTCTGTGAACTGTGATCCAATTTTAGTATCAAACAGATAAAATTGAAGAATATGGCACTTCTAAATTTAGGTTTTATAAGCTTGAAGAGAACTTTAAGGGATGTTTTTTGCTATGTTTCCTGTTAGTATCTACATTTTTATCTGTAAAAGTGTCTTGCAAGACAACCTCAAACTACCTTACCTATTGTACTTGTTCATTTTTTGTGATAGACCAACATAAAATAGAGCATTACTGTGAAGTCAGAGGCAAATGATAAATGGTCTTCAAAAGATTCAGCCGATAAAATCAAATCCAGAGCATTCAGTTGCCTTCAGATGTACAATTACAGGGGTTCAGTGAAGGGAAGGCTGCATTGGTTTGATACAAGACAACAGGTCAGGGAGAATGTTCTGGAGTTTAAGACGGGGTTAAAGGTGATGTGTTACGCTTCCTTGAAAAGGTTAGGATAGGTGAGTGGTCTACACAAAACATGTTCATTACAGTTTTTGAACAAAATAATTTTCATCTGTTCAGTTCTGCCTATTTTGATCTCCTTTCAGAATGAGACACTTGTCACTTTAAATCCAAATAAGTTCAAGTCAATGTTGATGCTTGCACATAAAAGTGGCTGCAAACAGATGCACAATTATACAACCGTACTTATTTGAAAAGCACAAGTAGAGCCTACTGCACAACCAACAAGGACGTAGCAAGTGGCTTCTGGATGATAAGTCAACAACAAAACACCTGTCTTTTCCAGATGCCATTGTACAGCACATTACAAAAAGCTGTCCAAAGGTACCAGAACTCTGCTTGGGTTGCTAAGTAACGGGCAGAACTCTAGGGTTGCTAGGTAACGGCGCATGTGACTTACTGTTCATTTTCCAGACACCAAAATACATTAACTTGTTGCCAAAAAAGCATGTTTGTTTCTCTTACGATTTTGAAGTTGTTGTCTAAATTGGAGGCAGCACATTAACATCTTAAGCCTCATTATAGTCTGTTGTGGTGTTTGTTTTTCTTCCCACTTGCATATCAGGATGCAGAATAGTGATGTTTGTCGAGTATCGATGACCTTCAGGACCTGGCCATGCAGATTCAGGTCACATTTGAAAAGATCAGATTCTCTAAACAAGATTCCTCCTCAAAAATTTTTTAATCTATCATGCAATCAGTTGATTAACTGTTTATTGTGACAGGCTCATAACTACATCATATAACTCACAGAAGAATTAAAGCCTATTTTTTTTTTTTATGTTTTCTTCTAATTCACAATAAAATACTTTAAAATTTCAGGGTTTAAATGTGGAAAAAGTTGAAGCAGTGCATTTAAGGTGTTGCATAAGGTTCTGGACTGGGGCCAGCGCGGGGCGTCAGCAGCGATTGCCTCTTTCTGCATTAGTGATTACTCTGAAAGCGGAGAGGCTGAACCTAATTCTGGAGGAAACCTTTTGAGTCTCTGGAGTTCACGCTGCGTCTGCTCCACGGTGGAACTGACTGCGTCTGTGTGTCAGATGACTGTGACTTCCTCCCCGCTCTCCATCACGACTTGCACACAAAGCCGACCTGCTGAGACCTTTTTCCTTCCCCTTAATCACCATCTTTGATCCCACATATTGATAAAACTGACTCAACACATTTTAATAACCACATTATTGCTGTCACTGTGTCAAACCCAAGGCTCTCGGGCCAAATTCGGCCCGTTGTAGCTTTTAACGTGGCCCTCTGAATGGACATAAAATAGATCCTTCAAGTTAACATATCTGATTAAATATTTTTTATCAATCAAATCTAAGCAGATTTTATCTGTTTTCTGCTAAATTCCAGTTTTTTATAAGGAAATTCAGACAAAAATCAACAGATCCTCACATTTATTTTCACTAATGCATCATTTTCAGTCTATCACAAATTTTCCACAAAAACTGAAATACAAAATCAAAACTGCATTATTAATCCCAAAGGGAAATAAAATTAAAACCTATCAAAAACATTGGATTTAAATGATGCCAACTCCCACCTGCAGGTGGCAGTATTTCTTACTTCTACTGAACAGCTGCCTTATGCTTACAGATGCGCCGATTTGATTTTAATATCGATTTTAATATTAATATTGAAAAAATATCAAGCATTAGTGATAATGTGCCAGATCCATAATGGCAGATCTGTTCAATCTAATTATTTTATGTTACATTTAGAATTTAATGTAATTTCTTCTTTCTGAACCATTTGAAAGGTTTGTAACATGTCTCATTACATGTAAAATAATCTAAGAGTGGAACTAGTATTTTTTCCATCAATATTAAAAAGAATTATTGACTTAGAAACTAGATAAAAATAGTTTCTATACTGATTTTTTGCAGTGTGGATATGGCTCAAAATGAAAATGAGTTTAGCAGTTGTCAGTCACCCAAATAAGTCTTTTATTTCTTTTTTCTGAATATTAATATGATCATTAAATACATGATTTATGCAAACCAAATCTGACTTTTCATATGTTCAATGCAGGGAAGTGGTGATGTATATTTAATATGAAGTGTGCAAGTCAGTGAATGTTAACCTCCTTAATTTAACCCAGAAAGAAGAGCTCAACTATACATCCAGTGGGAAACAGAGGAAATGTTCTTCATCTGATTCGCCTTGGCAGAAACGTTTGGCCTTGTGTTGTTATTTCAGCAGAACTGCAGCGCGTTTCGTGAGTCGACACCCTGACCTGAGCTGAAACCTGAACATATGAAGAGGGCATCTGCTCCCCTCAGGGTGTCTGTTGGCGTCTGAGGTAGATAATCTGTACCCTCTCCATGAGCCTGGATGCTTCCAGGGAACATTAGCATGGAGGTTTTGCAAATAATACATTAACATCAGAGCTGGATGCTAAACCTTACAGATCTTCAAGTTTTCCAGGAATGAAAAAATGTTTTCATTTTGCTGTGAGTGACAGCTTCAGTCCTGGTTGCCTCCAGGGCTCTGGGTTAAACTCACACGCTGGCAACCCATCGGGAGTTCTGGGATTACCCAGTAACATGACACAACAGATGGTTTGTTGCACAGGAGCACCTGGGAAGACCGAAGGAAAAGCAGTTTGAAACACTTCTGCAAAAAAAAACAAACAAACAAAAAAAAAAACGTGTTCAGTGGATGACTGTGTAGTTGTAACAAAAAGGAGACGTAATACACAAAATTCACATTTCTGTGCTTCCATTTGGGTCACAACTTCTTCTAAAAACAGCCCAAGTGCTTAAAATAACACACCCTGCTGTTTTCTTGCCAATAAGTTGATGATTTTTTTCAAAAACTTTCAGAATGTAACCTGTTACCTAGCAACCCCAGCCAAGCCCTGCCCGTTGCCTAGCAACCCAAAGTTCCAGGACATTTGTTTCCAATTCTGTATAAAAGTTGTTAGATTTTGGATAACTGGCGGTTAAGATGTCAGCAAATGAAATCCACCAAGAAGAAAATGTAACTGTTTTCTTACTACACTGTAAAAACACAAAACCTTACCAAATATTTTTGGTATAGTTTCTATCTTAGTTCACTTGAAATAAGACAAAACTAACGTACTTCTCTGATAACGTCTTTAATAACTTTTCAGCAAGATGTAGGAGCTTGTTTTAAGTGAATAATTCTTGAAAATTAATACAAAGTAATAGTGCCATCGTCAGATTTTTATTTTTCCACTTCTAACACAGAAAAAGTGAAAAAATCTGATAGTGGAACTAGTTAGTTTCAGGTTTAGCTAGTTAGGCAACATTAAAGCTAGCATGTGAAATTGTCTTGTGATAAATAAAAATAATCTGCCAGTGGAACTTGTATTTAACCAATATTAGGGATTATTTACTCAAAAACGCTCATAGTACTTGC